TATTGATTTTTTACAGAGATGAAGGGAGAGGGATAGAGAGTTAGAAACATCAATGAGAGAGAAACATCAATCAGCTGTCTCCTGCACACCCCCTACTGGGGATGTGCCTGCATACAAGGTACATGCCCTTGAACAGAATCGAACCTGGTACCCCCCATCCGCAGGCCAACACTCTATCCACTGAGCCAAACCGGTTAGGGCAGGAAGCTATTCTTAATGGCTGTTTCTCAGAGGAATAATAAAAAATTTTTCCCAAAATGCAACAATGTAAATTGTCTTTAAAAGTTGAAACTTGCTTTGCAAACTGATAATATAGACTCAGTAGGTAAATCCCTATAGGTCTATCTTACCTCTGGGGGGAAAAAAGTTTTGAATCATGATCGATTAGTGATGGATACATAAGAATACCTAATGAGGATGGGTAATTTGTGTATTTTCCAAAGGGACTTTCTTCTTGGATTTTCCCAGGGGATTATTCTGTATCCATGGCCTAATGTAGGTGAACAATTTGATATTAATACAAAATAAAATGAACACAACACTCAACTGTCAAATATATACTTTTCAATCTTAGCTGGATCCTCTTTAGCCTTAGAGAGAAATCCTTCACCAAATTTCTAGTTGATTCCATTCCAGTTCCCCATAGCAGTCATTCTAAATCTTTACCACTTTTTCCAATTTTACTCCCTCAAATTCCAAAAGTCTTGGTGTACAGTTCTTTGAGAATACAAAAACCATGTAAGAACACCTTAATTTTATTTCCTACCAGCTAATAATTTATCTTTTTTTTTATCCTTTCTTTTTTGCTCCCAGTATTGTTTAGGTTCTCATGCAGCCCCATGAGTTTTCCTTGGGAAAGGGCTTCACTTTCATATCCTTCCTGAGCCTCCAGTCTCTCTCTTTCTTCAGTGGGACCTTTACCTCAGCCTGCAAGTCTATGCCATCTTTTCAGAACTCATCATACTTGAATTTTGTCACCAGTGATCCCCTTCCTCAATCCAGTTATTGAAATTCCACATATTTTTAATGAATCTACTTCCCCTTGCCCTTCTCCTTTCCTATTTCTGGCTAAACTTTGTCTTCTCTGTCTCCTTGCTTGACCTATGCTTTCTCTCTTTCTCTCTCTCTCTCTCTCTCTCTCTCTCCCACACACACACTAATTCCCCACTTTAATTTCACCTACACCTATTCCCATGTTTTCACTGTCTTCTTACAGTTTCAGTTCTGTTCTGTGTTTCCACTTTTGATGCTTCTCCTGAATTTCAGACTTAAATATATCACTGTCTAATGCATATTTATTCTTTTTAAAAATATATATTTTTATTGATTTTGGAGAAGAAGGGAGAGGAAGAGAGAGATACAAACACCAGTGACGAGAGGGAATCATTGATCAGCTGCCTCCTGCACACCCTACACTGGGGACCAGCCCACAACCCAGGCATGTGCCCTGACCGGAAATTGGACTGTGACCTCCTGGTTCATAGGCTGACACTCAACCACTGAGCCACACTGGCCAGGCTGCATATTTATACTTGAATGTCTCCCAAATACATCATACTCAGGATATTAAAAAAAACAGTTGGCAAGTAATACATTTGAGGTCAAAACCTGAATTCAAGATTTTGACATGTAATGAAATGGTGAGCAAGGTATTTGACTTCAGTTTCCTCATCAAATACTGTCGTGAAACTTCATTTCACCAACACACTTGCCCACACAACCATCTCTCTCACCTGTTACTGCAATAACATCCTCGGTGATCTTCCCACTTCATTGTACTCTATTCTCAATGCAGTAGACAGAGTGAACCTTTAACAAAAAGTGATTTAGATTGTGTCTCTCTACTCAGAACCTTCCAATGGTTTCCCATCTTGGCTTTTAGCAAAACTCAAAACCTTCATGTGCCACCCTCAACCCCATCTTCCCCGAATCCCTGACTTCGGTTTTTCATCCTGTCATTTTTCCCAGCACTCTGCCCTCCTCAGTTTTCCTTACTTTGCTGAGCTCCCTCTTGCTTCAAGTGCTTAGCCCATGGCCTTTTATTCAAATGGATGTCACTCTCACCTCCATAAGCCTTTATTCAAATGTCACCTTCTCACTGACAGATTCTCTAACTTATTTGAAATTTACCTCCATCCTTCCGGTCTCCAACACTTAATCCCCATCTTGTTTTACTGTTCTCCATAGGGCTTATTCCTAATATTCTATACAATTAACTCATTTAGATTGTTTTTGTTTCCCACTATAATGTGCCCCATGATGCCAAGAACTTCTCCTTTGTTTTCCCCCCACCATTGTATCTGCAGGGCCTAGTAGTAGAAGCTCAATAATAATTGCTTAAAAAAAAGAAAAGAAATAAATGTACAAATTAAGATATCGGAGGTGGCATTTTTTTTAGCTAAAAAGCACTATAAATAAATTAATTATTTCCTCTATTATCTCTACTATTATTATTTTATGCCCACATGACTGCACATTTAAACACACACGCACAAACACAGAGTTTTTTTTCTATGTCCTACCTTGGTTTTGAGATACTATCTAATCAGTTTCTGAGGCTATTTACTTTGAGTCATCTTTAAGCTTTTCAACCATTTTATTCATCAATTTTAACTCTTACACTATGTGGAGCAGAATATTCATTTTAGTTCCTACTACTTTAGCTCAATCATCTTGAACTTGTCTCTAGATAATTACAATAGCCTACACACGAATTTGTACCATATTTTATAATAAATATCCTTTCTTAAGTACTTTTTCATGGCTTCAAATGATCTGCAAAATGCTTTCTACAGTAATCAAGGTCCTTCATTACTGACCCTGACCTATGTTTTTGTGGTGCTATTTTCCAACATGATAAATTGTTCTTTATGGTTCTTTTTACTTCTTTTTACTTCCAGTCAGTAGTTATTGATTATTCACTGAGTCAGGCACTGTGCAATGGCGTTTAGTAAGGTACTATCTCTTTTCCCCTCTCCTCATAGCAATTTGTTATAGTTTGGGAGGAATGAAGGAAGAGAAAACTTGGCATTTGAGATCATACATCAAATGCACAGTAGCTATAGGTACATTGAAAATGTATTCTGATTTTTTGGGGACAGACTTGGTTTATACATTTTGTCTGGGTATAATTATTACTAAATTTTTCTATACTATCAGAACTCGTCCTTGTTTGCTGATAAATTATAGCATCTCTTTATAAGCAAAATAATTTGAGTTTTATCCTGTTATGAACTGTAGAAATTATGGGACTTTCTAAGCAACATTTAAGTTGCCGTCCCTTAGCATTGGAACACACTTATACATGTGACATAATGTTTGGTGGAGAAAACCCAGATTATATAACCTGAATGTCATCTTAATTTTAGTAGAAAACTTTTATTTGTCTCAAATACATTTAATAGTTACTGTCTTAGCAATTTTTTTTCACATCCTTGTCAGGAGTGTCATATTTACTCTTCATTTATTTATTCATAGCCTTCCCATCTTTAAAGTTATGCTTACATCCCAAAACTATTTTTTGATTCATCTCTATCTCTTTCTACTTTGTGGTCTCTCCTTTTAGCAGCTATTTTTTTTATCATTTAATTGGCAACTTTTTGTATACAAAATACTTTTTTTTTAATTCCTGGATCTGTTGGCATGGTAGTCTGCTGGATCCTTGAAGGCAAAGAATCTTTGATTGTTTAGCACTGAGTCTAGGGCCAAATACAGAATATAATCAAGAACTTAACTGTTTTATGTAAAAAATAGCAATATGATAGCAGTGGTATGGAGTGTGGCATTGATGGTAAGTGTGTTGAAAATATAATAGGATAAGATAATATTAATTTTCAGGACATATCTATAGTTTATACCAATGTCTATAGATTAAAGATGTGGGTTTGTAATGTATATTTATTGAAAATTATGTTGTGATGGGAGGAAAGACATTGAGGAAGAGAAAGGAAAGGTATACCATATTTTATCAAACCATTGCATGGAAGATCATCATTCTTTTGTAATTTCTGAGGTAAAAGTGCCAATTAAGTTATGGTTCAATGTTTTCATATCACTTATAAATTTCATTTGATATATATTGAAATACCTATTTATTTATGGATTTTAAAAATAATTTAATCATCCCTGTATATACATAACAAAAGTGTAAGTGGTATCAAAGGACTAAGGTGTTGTCAGCACTCCATTGCATTTGAAGGTCATTTATTTTAAGAAATGTTTATTTTCCAGTTAAAATGTAAAAATGAAATATTTTATTGAATTGATTTATCGTGTATAAGTAAGTATAAGTAAGTATATTGCAAAGAAACAACATCTGATGAGTTTGCTAGGATATGAAGAAGGCCCTAAATATTCTAAAACATAAAGGGAACATAATGGGCATTTTGGATGCAACCGAGTGTAGAAATCTGAGTTACAGCAAAACTTTATGGAAGTGTACTATCACTTTTGCTGTTCAGCAGCCGAAGCTGTCACCTGGAAAGTTTTAGCAAAATGGACATGAAAATATTATGAGATTGGGCATCTAATTAGTGTAGAGACATGAAGCTATGGCATTAGTATGGAAAGTTAAGAACTAAACACGCAGAGTTTCGGTTTAGGTACACTAGTTATCATTTATTACAGGTGTTTTTTTTGAGCAGAGGAGGAATAAAAATGTCTGTGTTCAAAATGTCAACATCTATAAACTCACTTGGTGGGATTCTATGTGCCTTATCCAGTATGACAAAACCGCTAGTCATAAACATAAACAGAATTCATAACAATTTCCAGAACAGACTGTGTGAGACTACATCAAAGTCAATTCTATCAATAAGTTGGACTTGAGCAGAGTGGCTATAATTAAGAAAATAATTGGCTTAGCTTTGCAGCTGAATAGAAAATGTGGATCACATTCATGTACCTTTTTATGTATTGGTTTCTCACATTTCATCTTTGTACTGCTCTTGTGTTCATGCTCAGATCAGTCATATTTTATTTTGAAACATTTTCATTTTCAGATCAGCAGTCCTGTGATCCTGGTGAATTTCTTTGCCACGATCATGTGACTTGTGTCTCCCAGAGCTGGCTGTGTGATGGGGACCCTGACTGCCCTGATGATTCAGACGAGTCTTTAGATACCTGTGAGTAGAAAGGTTTTCCTGCCATTCAGATTTACCTTACATGTGAAGCTAAATGTCAGTTGTTTCATGGTTGGCTGATGTTGTAGTTGATACTTTTTTTCCACCGAGCCCGAGAAACTCTAAACTTTTCATTTATGTTTCCTTTAAAATGACTATGTGAATGAAAGCACAAAATGCAATTTCATAGCGGGAACTGACTTATGTAGGGAAGAAGATGCAAGGTTAATTATTTCAAGGTGATTGTGTTACTCCTAGAGAAAAATGACTTGAAGAGGAAAATAATCCTTTGAAACACAGCACTAAAAGGGAATAAGACCCTCTCCAAATATTTATCTCACACACTTTGAGTGAGAGGAACACATAGGCATGAAAAGAGAAAAAATAGATTAATAAAAACAAGCTCTAATGTAGAAATCAAATGTGTAAATCCATACAAAGGAATATTATTTGGCAATAAAAAGAAGTACTCATACATGACACATGGATAAAGGCTAAGGGGAAGGAGCCAGTCACAGAAGACCGCATGTGGTATGATGTCATTCATATGAAAGATCCAAAATTGGCAAATATATAGACACAGAGAATGGATGAGGGATGTAGTAGAAGGCAATAAGGACTGACTGTTAATGACCATGGGCACTCTTTTTGGTGAGATTCAAATATGCTAAAATGGGATCGCAGTTATGGTTGCACAGTTATGTTAATGTATTTTAAAACATTGAATTTTACATACTAAAAGGGTTGAATTATATGTTAATTTTATCTTAATAAAGTTGTTTAAAAATGGGAATATATCTCATAATTGTGCCTAGGGGTGTAGATAGCACAGTAATGTGAAAAGAAAATTTTTATGATTATTAATAAATGCTCTTACCATATGAAATCATATTATACATGATTATTAAGTCATTATTTATGATTATTAATAAATCATTAAATATGATTATATATAATGCTCTGACCATATGAAATCATATTATATGTGATTAATATTATATGTATATGACATATATATTATTTTTAAGCTTCATCCTCTCCTTTTTAAGTGTAATCTAGGAGTTCTTTCCTCATTAGCTGGAAGGATTTTCATAGCATAATCAGAATAAAAGGATAATTATTGAATGTTGGTACTGGAGTGTTGCATTTCTGTCCTGATCCTCCCAACAAATTCCTGATGGGGGAAAAATTACAGAAACATGAGATATATTTTTGCTATCCATATGCAAGAAAGCCAGGTTGAAGGTGAAATGCTATGGAGCTGTGTACTTGGCTCAATGCAAAAATGTTTGAGAAAAAAATGACTGGAGAGCTTACCTAGACTGATGCTGGTGAAGAATAGAGATTGATGGTGTCCCTTTGTGCTCAAGAGTGAGATGAGTCAGAGAATCAGACTGGAGAAGATTTGTGGTGTAGAACAGGAGCCAGGACCTGGATGGTCAAAACTAAAGCCCTGGGAGAGAAAACCTTAGAGTAAATGTCAAATTGTGTAAATGACAAATACTCTGCTACCCGCCCTCGCTGAATTCCTGCTTCTAGAACATGGCTGATACCCAGCAAGGCCACATCAGTGGACCAGAGTTGTGTTTGACAGCTGACTGATTGGACATTTGCTCTGAATGGTCAGTGTCTCCACCACAATGTTCTTAAATATTTTGAATATCCACCCTGCCCATAAAATAGATACCACCTTGGTTTTTGGAAAAGGTGGGTCCTTCAATTCAGAGATTAGGGGCTTCAGCAGACTGAGGCCTCAAATTAGAAATCGCATGTGGGTTAAAAAAATAAGTTTTTCTGCTCATTTTTAAAAATGAAATTCTTACCTACTCAAGACATTTTTATCAGCTTTTAAGTATATAGCTATTTTCTTCTCCAATAACATTTGATGGATTAGATTTAAAAGTATTTCTTTATTTTGGCCATTCTTATTCTATTCTCAAAAATCAAAATTGCTGAATATCCTTAAAGGAAACACTAAAACTATTGTTATATCAATGTAGTCATATAACAAAGAAAGAGAAGTAACTATTTTTCTACCTGGACATTTAATCTGGACAACACACTTGGATCTACATGTAATTAGCCTGTTTCCCATCAATGGTTTCAGATAATACCAATTGAAATCTGGACAAGGATAGAAAAAACCCTTTATAAAACATATAAGACTTTTGAATTTTAAATTCCCTACCCAGATGTTCACAATTACCATTTTTCTAATCATAGTGCTTTATAATGGGTTGTTTTACATCATTCACATTCAGTCATCACTGATATCCATAAAATGCCAAATTTTATGACATTAATGTACACATTCAATGTGAAAGATAAATACTAGAAATCTAAAACCATAAAGACTGATTCTTAGGAAGGGTGATTTTGTGCTCAGAATATGAACAAATGTATGTTATACATTTTGGCTGGAAGTACGTGTATCTACAAAATATTAGATGAAATCAGTTGAAGCAATACACTTATTTTTCCTAAATCCACTTCGCCTTTAATATGATAAGAAAACCAGTACAACATGGAATTTATTACAACATTGTAAAAGCTCTGAAATGATGACAAAATTCTTATAGGAAAAAAGGGGGATATTGTCAAGGAAGAAGAAAAGCTTTTGTTGTGAAATGCTGATGACTGAAATCTTAGAAAATAAACCTGCCTACAGAACAACCAAGATGAGGTTTCTAAAATATGAAAACGGATAACTTTCATAATTTATAATTTACCATTCGATATGAGCAAGTATTCTTTAGCCTTATATTAAAAATGAAAGTCTAGATTTCTCCACATTATTTGAAGTAACTTCAAGTGTCTAAATAAATGGCTAATCATCTTCAAGCCCTATGAGGACATGAGAATAGAAAATCAGGGAAATCAAATCACCATCCTTCGACTCAGGGCTTTCAGATCGGTTGTTAGTCTCGAGTTGTGTGTGACAAGAATTTAAATGGGAAGTGCGGACATTTATTTGTGAAATGAAAGCTTGGGACCACCTGTGGCTGGAAAATTTTCTTGAAAGGCACTTTTATTTCGAAGTGTTCAACATTTAATTCCTTCTAGGATTTTCTGTTGAATGCTTAATGATACTTCCTTTCCAACAATCAGCTCCAGCTGATGTATGATATTTTCTGAGAAATTGAATTTAATGTACTTTAAACTGGTTCTTTCTTTTTAAGCCAGGACTGAATTGGTGCTGCTATGTCTCCTTCCTTCCTGTTACTCTATCCTACTTCCCAGTCAGAAAATTATTTAGCGGGCACATTAATTATAGATCATATTTTCGATAGATGACTCACTGGCCAACAAAGGAGAACAAAAATGGCCTTATAAGAGGGTAATGGCAACCTGGAAAGTTGTGATAATTTGCACATTGACTCTGCCCTGTCCTTCTGCAGGAACCAGCAAACTTTTTCTATACAGAACCAGGTGGTAAATATTTTAGATTTCATGAATCCATGTGATCTCTGTTGAATATTATTCTTGTGTTTTAAATGCTTTAAAATAGAATGCACATTCTCAGCTTATAGTCTGTACAAAAACAAGGCAGAGGACAAATTTGGCTGGCTGTGGTTTGTTAACCCCTGTTGTAATGTCATTGATGAACTATATTCTTTGTGAAATTATAAGGGTGGGTCTGTGCCCATGTAGAGTCACCACAGGGAACAGAATAATGCCTCACAGTGGAAGCACGTGGCATAGAGCTGTGTGTGTACCCACTACCATGTAGTGCCAGACTCAGGCCATATGGTATTTTCCGCAAAAGGTAGGTTTATTCTTCTATTTTAGTAGGTTTATTCTCCTTATTTATTAGGATTACACTGGAATACATGGAATAGAAACAGTAGCTTAACCAAATAGGGGTTCATATTTTTTCACATAAAAAGTAAAAAGGTGGAAAATTCAGTATTAATGTCAGATCTCGAATGGCACCAGCTTTCTCTATCTTTCTGCTCTGCCATCCTCAGCATGGAATTGTCAGTCTTACACCCACAGTATCAACGCTCTACCCCTGCCAGTAGATGATTCCATTTTAGGCAGAAAGAAGGGGAAAAGTAAAGGAAAAAGGCAAGTGCTAGCTGATTTCTGTTTTACAGAAAAGCAGTAACTTTCACAGAAAGCAATGTTAGGATGTGCTGCTGATAGATATCTGCTTCACCAGAACTGACCAGATGAAGTATGGATCAATGAGCATTTTCAACAGGGCTTGTTGCTCCTTCCATCCCCGCCCCCCCGCCCCCCCCAAAAAAGGTGGCCAGAAAAGGGGAGAATAGATATTGGGAAGGCAGAGGCACCAGGTAGCATATGCCATAGTGTCCCTTCACTCTCTTTTCTCCTCTCCATCCACTACATAGGAGGTGGCACCCCTAGCATATGATCCGGGCTTCTGCATCTCAACTACTGGTCTCCAAGTCAAGTTCCTTCTCAAATATCTTTTCTCCTTGGCAGCTAACTTAACCCTTTTAGGACCCCATTACCTCATTTGTACAATGGACATGATAGTACTTGCCTCATAGTGAAGTGTTTAGAAAATGCCTGGTCCATAGTCAAATCCCCTCTTTATTGCACACCCCATTCTGCATCCCAGATGCTCAGGGTTCTGAGCAAGCACCGTGCCCTAAGGGTCTTCTTATGTAGAGTCCTAACTGCCCCCATAGCCAATTCTTACTTAAAGTGAGTTTATTCTCTAAGGATGTGACTAGGAATAGGATTAATTTACCACATGCACACATTCAAGTTAAATTGTTAACAGTTTTTAATAATTAGATATATTACATTTAAACATTAAGACAAATTTTGTACAGAGATTATTTTGGGACAGGAGGCTTTTTCTAGGAACTCTTACAAAAACACCACGTTGACTGATTAACTAAAGTTAAAATACATTCCTGAAAGTCATGTTAGTGAGTAATATTTCTTAATTGACACTGCAGTCCTGAAATTTAGATGTTATGTCATTTTAGGAAATTGAGTTTATGGGCCTTCTGTATTCCTCTAAGTTG